CTGCCTTACTGCATGTACCAATTGTGTTGTTCATTTAAGTTCATTTAAAGTGATTGTATGTATTGAAGAGATTGTTCTCCAAAAAACGCATGATACTTTTTCAAATTTATGTTTATTACTATTCATTCCCTTACATTGACTAACTTTTTTTTTTTAAGATTTTTATTGGGAAATTGGGGGAGGAGAACAGTGTTGGGGAATTGGGGAAAGGGAACAGCCAAGTTGTTATCCTTCGATCTTAGTTGTGGAGGGTGCAGCAAGCTCAGCTCCAACTCCAGTTTCGCTGCTCAGTTCATGGTGCTGTGTTCAATTAGTTGTGGGTGGGTGTAGCCACCATCCCATGTGGGAGTCTAACCAGCAGCCTCGTTAAGAGTGCACGCTCTATACCTTGAGCCACCCGGGTGGCAGCTCAGCTCCATCACAGCTCACTGGCCCATGTGGGAATCAAACCGGCGACTCTGTTGCTCAGAGCTCGTACTCTTGAGCAAACTCTTAACCAACTGAGCCACTCGGCCAGCCTGACTAACTTAAATTACAAAATATTTCATAAGTTGAAGTAGTTGAAATATTCTATAATTAGTAAGTATTATACTAAGAATGATAGAAGTAAATGCTTTATCTCAAACATCTAAGTCTTATGGATGTAGGTTTGTGTTATATTCGAGAATATACTCTTCTCCTAAGTGACCCCCGTAGTTGGAGATCTTTATTTATTTATTTTTTGCTTTTATTTTTTATTTTTTTGTAGTTGCAGATCTTGATTGTTAAACATTTTCCCTATTGTAGGAGGCACTTACTATTTTAACACCTCAAGGAAGAAGCAGAAGGCTAAGGACCATGATAAATCCAAGGGGAGGACCCCTGAAGACGATGAAGGTAGATCTATCTATTGGATGTTCTGGAATAATGGCTAGCTTGGTTGTCTTCACATGCACGTTCTAGTCTAAGCAACAGGAATCCTGTCTTAAAAGTAGAGCAAGCCCAGGCACCTGTGCTTTCTTTGCCCTGAACATACCTACCCCCAGTCTCTAATGTGATTGCTGGATCCTTCCTGCCTGTCCTTGTAGAGATGCTTCCATCAGCACCTGTGTCCCTTGTTATCTTCAGAATGCCTACAGGCAGGTGGCATTTCTGTCCTCTGCATGGAAAGAGTGAATCTTGGATCTATCCTGAATTCAGGGCTCTGGGGCGGGGAGGAAGGCACCAAGACTCCTTGGCTGAACTCACCCTCATTTATACCTGGTTAGTGTTGCCACTGCCATCATGCTTGAGAAGCAGCCCCCAGAGGAGAGGAGGGTACAGTGTATGGCCTTGAAGAAGGAGTAGGAGAGATCACTGTCCTATAAGACGACCACTGTATGCCAATCGGTTCTTGCCCCAGCCCCCAACCCCAGTTCACAGTGACCTCCCTTGCAAATCTTAAGTCTCATCTCTGGAATTAGAACTGGATGATCACGTAAAGGGTAAGGGAAATAAAAAGGTAAATTTGAACTGAGGTGACCTCTAAGGTGAAAGGTGGCTGCCAAGAGCTGCTAATAATGGGAATTGCTAACCCTTATGAATGAATGAACAGGGGGCAGCCTGTGCTTAGGGCGCAGCTCCATGTATGTGAGAACACCAGGCTGGTTTTTATTTAAAAAAAAAAATCAGACTTTTGTGAAGAAAATGGAAGAGGTGTTTATTGGAGTCCACATCCAAGCTGTCTTTCTATTGTTTTTAGAAACTCTTGCTAAAGTGCAAATCTGTCTTATTTAACACCCAAGCTGTATCTTTTGAAAGTCTTAGACTTTTTTCACACTCTATGAACAGATGCTTGTGAATGACAGAATTGCTTCAAAACCCTTTCACATCAGGTGTAGTGGGGTGTTACGTGCAGAGCAGTGAGGAACGATACTTGATTTGTGCACTGCAGCCATGCGGCCAGGAACACGGGACTCACAAGTTCAGTGTCTTAAATGTATTGAAAATCGACGTTATGATCAAATAAAGCCTCTGAAAGAGAGATGTTGTTGGCATGAGCCTCATTCAGGTCAGTGTGTTGTAGCTAGTTTGATGATTGTCAACATTGTTAATTAGAAAACAAGATTGAAAATTCAGTATTTGAAATAGATGGTTTCTAAATAATTAGTACTCAACCTGAGAACATAAATTTGCTTTCCAAAATAAGTGGTAGTCTTTATTTAGCTGTCTTTTGTGAATGTGAACTTTAAATATTAGATATATTACTATAATCTATTATAACAAGACATGATAATACCTAAAATTTACCTTCATGTTTTCAAAACGACTACTAGGGCAGCTTCTCAGTAGGTTTCATTTGTGTTTTTAAGCCGATTTAAAATGCTCTTGAATTCTTCTAAACTGATTGTTGGAGAAGAAGGTGGTGTGTTTGTGGGTGACACCTCCAGGCAGTGCAGTTAGGAGCCAGTGCTCACTCTTGTCCTTGGAGAAGTGACCACACGTGCAGTTTGGTGTGGACCACCAACCCCAGGCTTTAGGCTGAGCCCCGTGTCTGTTCCAAGCCCTCCCTGCCCTTCTCCCGAGCAGACGAGCATGTTTGTGCTTGTGAAGGAGCATACGGATTGTGGGAAGGACAAATAAATGATGGAGGCTTTGGTTGCTGAGATAGGTCTGGGCCCATCTTGGGCAGAACTGGTACATGCATTTCTCAAAGGGCATCATTAAGGACAAGCCTGGTAAAATCTAGTTGGGAAAGAAGGGCCCACACTGCACAGGTGAGTGCTGCACGTGTAGTTCCAGAGTCTCCTTGTGTGAATGGGGTGCCTGATGGTTGATGGTTGTAAGGACTGGGGTACGTGGGCCATGAGACCATGGAAAGCACCATGTAAATAAAATACAGTACCTGCTCTTCATCCCAGCAGAGAAGGGGACTTATCTGATTGGGGGATTTGGGAGAAAGACTGTGGTCTGGCCTTTGGTGGGTCACTAAAACTCAGCCCACCTGCAGAACTCTTTCCCAGCTGTGCATTGGGCCGAAGAGAGGTGACCCCTGCACGTGCTTCTCGTCCCCTGCCCCTCAAAGGTTTCTCTGTCACTCCCTGCTTCTTGGAGCCTTCTTCTGTCTTCTGCCTGCTGAGGTCTCACCTCCCCCTGAGGTTTCCTCATTCTCAAGATCAGGAGCTAAATCTTGTATCTTTTTTCCATCCCCAAGAACTGAGCGTGAAGCTGTCTGTATCCTAAGTAGGGCATTAATAACTGAGTAATATGATTTGGGGGGATTTATCTAATAGATCTGAGAAAGAATTGGTCTTTAAAGAATATTCTAGAATTAAATGGTCCCAATATATGTCTAAAGACTAAACAATATATCTTATACTTTAAATGTACTGTTTTTAAATGTTACTCATTCTGATAACAAGTTCAGGATGGTGGTTGTGGGATTGGGGGAGGGCATATGGAGTCTTCAGAGGGGTCAGATGGTGTTATTTCTTAAGGCAGGTGATGGTAGAAAGTATTTGTTTTATTGTTATTAATAACTTATACATGTGCCATAAATACTCAATGATGTTTAGTATCTAATCAAACCTTGGCTGCCTGAATTCCTCATAGCTTGGGTCAGATGTGCTTTCAGTGAGGGGGTTTACTGTGTAGCTGCACCGTGTGGTGGTCCTAGGAAGTTTTTTGACTTTAAAAATGCTTTCTTGTTTTCTGAGCAGTTGGGACCTCTGGAATGGAATGTTGGTGACCTCAAATGGCTTGTGATGAGTGTTAGTCTTGAGTCACTTGTTGAAAAATAGGCCAAAATGCAGGATTGTATTGGAGAGGAGCCATCACCATCTCAGTGTTGAGCTTTCCTGATGAAAAGACATGGGGCACCGAGGGTGGGCTGGGCCTGCAGCCTCGGCCTGCGTCTGATGCCCCTCTGTTCCCTGCCCACAGAGGAGAGGCGACGCAAGGAGAGGGAGGACCAGATGTACCGCGAGCGGCTGCGCACCTTGTTCGTCATCGCTGTTGTCATGAGCCTGCTGAATGCGCTCAGCACCAGCGGGGGCAACATTTCCTGGAACGACTTTGTCAACGAGATGCTGGCCAAGGGCGAGGTGCAGCGGGTCCAGGTGGTGCCCGAGAGCGACGTGGTGGAAGTGTACCTGCATCCTGGAGCCGTGGTGTTCGGGCGGCCTGTGAGTGAGAGTGAGGGTGCAGGCGTGGCAAGACCTGGAGGCGTGTGAGCGCCCCTTTCCTCCAGTCCCTCATGGCTCCCATGTGTTCGCTTGTCATGTTTTAGGTATTCTTTTTTATTTTATTAAAACTTTTTAGAAACATTTTTATTGGGGAACAGCCACGGTCATTGGTTACACATTGCTTTCATGCTACAATGGCATAGTTGACTCTTTTAGGGAGGGTACAGCTCACAGTGGTCCATGTGGGGATCGAACTGGCAACATTGGTGTCATCAGCACCATGCTCTAACCAATTGAGATAACCAGTCACCCCCATGTTTTAGGTATTTTTTGGGGGAAGGGAACAATGTTGGGGGGTGGGGAACATTGTGTTTTTCCAGGACCCATCAGCTCCAAGTCAAGTTGTTATCCTTCAATCTTAGTTATGGAGGGCGCAAGCTAAGCTCCAAGTCCAGTCACCGTTTTCAGTCTAGTTGCGCAGCCCACCATCCCATGTGGGAGTCGAACTGGCAACCTTGTTGTTAGGAGCATGTGCTCTCACCAGCTGAGCCATCTGGCCACCCACGGGCAGCTCAGCAACAGCTCAGCTCGGGCGCAGCTTATTGGCCCATGTGGGAATCAAACCGGTGACCCTGTTGCTCGGAGCTCGCGTTCTAACCAGCTGCGCCACCCGGCCAGCCCAGGTATTCTTAAAACAAGATGTGAACATCTTGATTTAAAGGAGGATTTGTTGAAGGTTTTTTGAGCAGTGGCCCACTAACATGGAGCTTGAAATGCAGAGAGGCAGCATTGTTTCCAAACAGAAGCTAGTGGGTTCCACAGCTGCTGTGGTGGCTGCATATAGAGAGGAAGAGATGAAGTAGTGACAGTGTGGCCACAGTGGTGACTCCCTGGAACAAGGGACTAAGGAGAGAGGAACCAGCAGCAGCCTTGAGGTTTTGCTCAGTCAATCTGGACGAGTGGTGTGGTGCTGGCTGGTGGTCAGCAGACAGGGTACCTTTGGCAGGTGCAGGTGAGTTGAGGTGACGGGGGGTTGGTTGGCCAAGCAGAAATCTCTCGGGGTTGGGGGTGGAGGCAGGAAGCTAATAGCACTCTGAGGCGGTGGCTAAGAGTTAGGAGTCAGGCAAGGACTGGACCTCGGACAGGAGCAGGAAAGAAAGGGAATGAGAGGGACCCTACTCCTCCTCCAGCTCAAGCGCCCACCCCCTAACCCCCCACTACCAGGAGAGAACCCCAGCATGCTCAGAACTGGAGAGCCGTGCGGTGCCCTAGCGAGAGGAGAGGTGGCAGACACTGCAGAGGGGTCGGGAGGGTGGGATTTCGTACCAGTAGAGCTTTGGGCATCAAAGATGGCAAGAGCGACACACCCTAGTGACAGTGGCCTAATTATCTGGCACTGCTGGGAAATGAGGTGGGGCATGTAGAAACTGGGCCCCAAAAACTTGGCTGTGAAAACCCTGGTATGAAGACGAATCACTCTCCCCGATCTCTTGATTCCCTCCTTCTCGTTCTCCAATAACCACAGCACCATTGTTAGGCCTGAGAAAGGTACCATTGATACTAGAATATTTTTTAAAGGACTTTCCCTGTTCGTGTTTCTCGGTCTTCTCTATATTGGCCTTAAGAAATGTTTTTGTTAGTATTTTAATCCAGAATCCAATCGAGGATCATGAATGATATTGTCATGTTTCTTTAGCCTCCTTCCTGTTTTTCGTTCAAAGTTTGCATAGCGGGAAAACTAGACCAAGTACAACCATGCCCCTTTTTCCACATTGGGAGACAGACAGGCGTTCTGGTTTTGATTCACTCCGCTTACCTAGAGCACAGCTTTACACTTTTTTTTTTTAAAGATTTTATTGGGGAATTGGGGGAGGAGAACAGCGTTGGGGAATCGGGGAAGGGGAACAGACAAGTTGCTGTCCTTTTGTTCCTCAGTCTAGTTGTGGAGGACGTCACTTCACTGCCCATGTTGGTATTATCATTACGCTCTTCCCCGGTGAGGCAGTCGCTTGCCTGCCATTGGACAGCCGCTCACGACGGCCCACGGCAGCTCATGAAAGCTCATGCCAGCTACCGGCCAGCCCCACTGCAGCCTATGCCTTTGCTGGCGACTCACGGCAGCCCAGCTCCAGGTCGAGCTGTTGTTTGCCATCTTAGCTATAGAGGGTGCAGGGTTGCTGGCCCTCATGTGGGATCCGAACCGGGGCCCTGCTGCTAAGAGCTGGCGTCCCAAGCCAAATCTTAACCAACACACCACTTGGTCGGCCCACAGCCTTACTCTTTTCTGCAGGGTATTCTCTCCCTACAACAGAATTGCATGGTATCCCAGAGCACGCCCTGCGAGCACTCCAGTCTCTGCTCTGGGTTTTGAATAGGGTTGAATGGTCAGTGGAGCTCTCGTCCTGCCTGAGCATGCTCAATTGTGGGTGCCACATAGCCCAGAGTGTTTCTCTTTCAGATCAAATCTCAAGCATGGTGTTTACAGCTGGTTGTCAGTTTGTAAGGGCATATAATTTAGATTGGGTGATAGGATCAACACCTAGTCTGCGAAACGGTAACAGTTAAATTCTTGTGCACTTCAGAAATGAGCAGTGATGATGGATGCTGCCTAGCCCTGAATACTGAGTGACCTGGGTGGCTGCTGCAGGGCCTTGAAGAAGTAAGCAGATGGTTCGGGCCCAGGAGACCAGAAAAACCTTTACAGAGGACGTGGTAGTTGAATTGGCTCCTAGAATCATATATACATTGTACTCTTGGAGCTTGGCATAGAAAGAGTCATTTCTATTAATACATTTTTCCCTTCTATACAAATTGGTGACCCTATTTACACGGCCAGGCCAGGTTTGAGTGACCGAGGCATTGAAGAAGTCCAGATTAAACATTTGGGGTTAATTAACTGTTAGGTTAATCCAGCAACCGAGGCCACTGGGCGTGCCAGCACAGATCATGGTCACTGTGTTGTGACCGGTGGGTCCTCTTGTCTGCCTCTCCACTTGGCCTATTCCCCCACAAAGTGGAGCCTGGCTGGCCGCTCTCATAGTGACAGTCATTCCTCAAGAAGTCTTCTGAGACTATTAATTAATTTTTTAGCTAGGCCATCCTGCCACCTGTTGGCAGCTCAGCGGCAGCTCAGCTCAGGCCAGGCATCGAACCGCTTTTTCTCAGAGCTCGCACTCTTGAGCGAGCTCTTAACCAACTGAGCCACTCGGCCGGCCCCTATTCTCAGACTCTTAAGAGCCAGGGGGAAATCTGGTTGCTCAGTTTAGATTCTAAGAGTGTGTTTAGAATCTGAGCTTAGAGCAGTTGAACCCTGGAAAGTGTGTGGAAGAGGCTCTTAGGAAAACGATGCGGGACCAGTGTGACGCAGTGCGTGCTGGTGGGACGAATGAGGACCGCCCTACCCGTCCTCCTGACCCTTGTGGGTTACGCGGATGTTTCTTCTGGAGTGGCATCAAACTAGCTCAGGAGCGAGCCATCCCTGTGACCAGGTCAGCTCACCGTGACGGGACTTGGGGACCCAGTGTGGACTCCTGGCCTGGTTTCGAGCCTCCTTCTCTGAAGCCTGTGTACCTGGGAGAGGCGGTGATTTTGCTTCAGGAAACTCTCTTCCTGCTCGCTCTTCCGTAGTCTTTTCTCCATCCAGACAAGGTTTACTGAGAAAAAAGACATTTCGTTGAACTTCAGATTCAGCCAGTGGTTAAACACAACGTCTGCATTTCTTGCCTTAGTAAGTGGTTTGTGCGTCCCCAGTCCAGCACTGCAGGCTTGTCGCTGTTTCTCTGCTCTGCACGCACGGGGTGAGGCAGAGTGCTGAGTTTAAAATCCACATGCCTCCCTCTATTTTCTTATAATGTTCCTATTAGTGAAAACAGAGAAAGCATATCTATTGAAATTTTGTAGTAATGGTGTTTGAGAAAACAAAAACTTTTTAGACATGGATGTAGTTTCTGAATGACACCTGTGTATTTGAGGGATCAGCAGTCTGTCGTGTTTGTCATTCTCACAGTTTCTTCTGCCTTCTGCCCCCAGAGGCTGGCCTTGATGTACCGAATGCAGGTGGCAAATATCGATAAATTTGAAGAGAAGCTTCGAGTGGCTGAAGATGAGCTGAATATCGAAGGCAAGGACAGGATCCCGGTTACCTATAAGCGTACAGGATTCTTTGGAAAGTATGTTGCTCATTTTTGTTGGCTCCTGAACTAAACTAGGCTTGGCTTTGTAATGTGAGAAACAAACCACAAACAAACATCTCAAACTAGCCTTCCTACAGTTAACTAGACCCCCTTGTGGGAGGATAAATAAACCTGTGGGTGAATGACATAACGCTGGGAAATTTGGAAATGTGTGAGGCTGTTGGGATTGGTTTTTGTCACTTTCTTTTTAGACTGTTGCATTTCTGAATTTAGCACATTGTAGGGTGGCTGGCATCTACAAATACAAAAATGGAACAGAAAGGGGGAAAGCACGGATATCTAGCAGAAATTCTTGGCTCTGAGAGAAATAAAGACTACGGGGGAGTGGCCCCTGGATCGAGGGCCTGCACACTGCTTAGTGGGAGTGATCAGTCAGCACAGCTGGGGTTCTGACTGCACTCTGGGACCAACAGTGGCTGAAAGCCTTGTGCACAGAGGTTTACTGTTGACTCCTGGACATGCTTTGTAATCCTGATAAGACGCAGAATGCCAGTGACTGGCGAACATGCCTGTGAAATGATGGGTCTCTCAATTCTACATCCCACTGGCTCCTGAAGGCTCAGGGCTCTGAGGCTGTGCCTCTAGTTTATTGTAGGAATGACGGGGTACAGGGCAGACAAGCGGCTTCCCCTCTTCATTTGGAGGGCTGACACCATAAAGTGTACTCTTTATTCTAGGCTTATTCTGCCTTACTAACCAAAATTAATGGCCTACTTTTGAAAACGAAATATATCAAATGTGCAAACCTGCTCTTGTTGGTTCGTTAATTACCACAAGGCTCTAGATTATGGGGTGAGTGTGTGGCGTCATCTCTTCTGGCTTCATGCCATGGTAAGATACTGTATCTCCAGTGTTTCCACGCTCCATCTCACAGCTTGGGAAGACTTTATGAAAGAGGATAATTGGTGAGAACTGGACAGGGAAACCCATTTTCATGACCATTGGTTCTACACGTTGCTCTTGGAGGGAGGGGTTGCTCTTCTCATCTTTGAAAAGTCCGTGGTCCCTGACATTTGTTAGGCATGACTGCCAGCTGCCTGGTGGCCACTTCTGAGCCTGAAACTGCCTCCCTCTCTCCCACTAGCGCCCTCTACGCCTTGGGGATGACAGCAGTGGGCCTGGCCATCCTGTGGTATGTTTTCCGGCTGGCTGGAATGACGGGAAGGGAAGGAGGATTCAGTGCTTTTGTAAGTTGTACAAATCACATCTCACTGAACTTGTGGTCTTAGAATTTGTCTGCGTTTGTTCTTGCTGAATGCCTTCCCTGTAAACAACAGAATAAGTGAAAAGGAACCAGTTGCAGGGGCTGCCTGGAGCCATAATTTGGCAGCTCATCTTTCCTTCTGCTTGCCTGACTGGAGGGTGTACGCACAGTAACCAGCTTTAACCAAGGCCCCCTCTTGCTGACTTGTGGGGTGCCTGAGCCAAGGGAATGTATAGGGCAGCTTATTCTGCAGTTTTCAGCATCAGCTGGCTAGGACTCCGTCTTTGATTTTCCCTGCTAGCTAAGACACTGAGAAAATTTAAAGGTTATCTTTAAAAGAACACCCATAATACACTTTTAAAATATCCTCCTGTTGTCGCATTTGTTATAGCATGCACGGACCCTCACCATCAGGTTGTATGTGGCCAGTTAGCCACATCAGCAAAGGGAAGGGCAGGTGGGAGCAAGTCTGCAGATGGCACCTCCTGCTCCCTCCCTGGGAACTGTGACTGGGCAGGGACGCACTGTCATTTCCTTGTTTCCACTCAGATTGGGACTGTATTCCTGTGTCTGTAGCTCAAGACTTACACCTTTTTAATGGCAGCGTGATGTGTTGTGGGATTGTACTGTATTTTACTCAACCGGTTTGATAATTTTTGCATATTTTTAGCTGTTTATTTATTCCTTAGTGGGGAAGAGTGTGTTTTTCCATGACCCATCAGCTCCAAGTCAAGTAGTTGTTTCAATCTAGCTGTGGAGGGCGCATCTCAGTGGCCTATGTGGGAATCGAACCAGCAACCTTGGTGTTTTGAGCCTACGCTCTAACCAATTGAGCTAACTGGCCACCCTGTCGTTGTTTATTTTTATTGTTGTTTTAAAATAATACTCTGATGCATTCCATGCACATGCATCTTTTGAGTACCTGTCTTAATTATTTGTCTAGTGTGCCTTCCTGAAAGAAGACTGGCTGAAGTTTAATGCATTTCACTAAGACCTTTAATCTCTCCTGCCTGATGGCTCTCCAAAAATTTACCAATTAACATTTCTACCAAGACTCCCCAGAATTGAGTGTTATTACATTACTTTCACAATCAGAAAAATAAATCACACAGCAGTGGGAAAAACGATATAGAAAAATAAGATCGTTTATGCAAAAGACATTGTTAAATTAGCTAGTTTGTATGTGGGAGTTTTTGGTTTTATTTTTTTAAGGCAAATTGCTAGATGCTAGACAGCTTTCTTACTGTTAGTGATGTAAAATAAACATTTCTCCTTGTATGTCTGAAATGTGACCTTAACTGCTGTCTGTTGTCATGAGAGGAGAGGGTGTGGGCTGGTCTGTCTGGTTGCTGGGAGGAGGGTCTGTGAGAGGCTGATGGGAGGTGTGGTTGCAGGGACGGGACAGGCAGAGCTGGCACCAAGGGGCTCATCTTCTAGATCCAGGCGTGCCCAACACCTTGCCCTGTGTTCTTTTGCCCAGAATCAGCTTAAAATGGCTCGCTTCACGATTGTGGATGGCAAGATGGGGAAGGGAGTCAGCTTCAAAGATGTGGCAGGAATGCATGAAGCCAAACTGGAGGTCAAAGAGTTTGTGGACTATCTGAAGGTGCGCACACGTGCCAGGCGGGAGATGGGTGTGAACGCACTCCCAGAGGGGAGAATTACGCTGATCAGATGTGTGTGCTGCGTGGTGAGCTCCCCAAGCTGAGGTGGGGAGACGCATGTGCTCCGCTTGCTGGTTCCTGTTAAATCGTCAGCACGGGCTACACGCACAGTTGTCGACCAGCAGGAGGGCGGAGAGTCCATCCCTTGATTGCTGGGACCCTGGCTTCTCCCAGAACCGTGGGAACTTGTAGCAGTTTCATGCCAGTACATGAGCTGACCTTCATGGCCGTCATTTCTTGAAAACTGTCTGAAACACCTCTGAGGTGAGTGTCACATTATCTGCTGCTTTTCTAGAGCCCGGAGCGCTTCCTTCAGCTTGGTGCCAAAGTTCCGAAGGGCGCACTGTTGCTCGGGCCCCCCGGCTGTGGGAAGACACTGTTGGCCAAGGCCGTGGCGACGGAGGCCCAAGTGCCCTTCTTGGCGATGGCTGGCCCGGAGTTCGTGGAGGTCATTGGAGGTAGGCGTTGCTTGGGGGGCTGCAGACAGGCTCGCCTGACCGTTTTTTCCAGGATGGCGCTCCTTTCACACGTCCTCCCTCAGGTGACTGAACTGATGAGAACAGCGGGGGAATAGAGAAGGAAAACAGAAACCTGTATTACAGGAAACACTGTGTTTATGTAGAGAACTGGGTGATGCTGTTCTTTGAAGGCACTTCTCCTTGTGCGCCCGGGAGTCCAGGAGGGCGAGCGTCCTCCAGGGCGACCTCTGCAGGGATGAGGCTTGGCTTTGTCTGCCTGAGGCGGTGCTTGCTGAGATTTTATCATCCTTAGTGGGCAGCTCTGGCCCAAAAGTAGGGTTCATCTCTCATTGCCTGTCGGCTTCCTGGCCCTTTGTGTCCCCTCAGGCCTCGGTGCTGCCCGTGTGCGCAGCCTCTTCAAGGAAGCCCGGGCCCGGGCCCCCTGCATCGTCTACATCGACGAGATCGACGCCGTGGGCAAGAAGCGCTCCACCGCCATGTCCGGCTTCTCCAACACGGAGGAGGAGCAGACCCTCAACCAGCTTCTGGTGGAAATGGACGGTGAGGGCCTGCCCCCAGCCACTCCTGTGCGGGGAGAAGCGTTTCCGACGCTTTCAGAACCGCCGTTTCCTCGGTGGATTTGCACTGCTTATGTTCATTGTTCCAGAGCCTTATACTAACGCTCATAGGCCTTTTGTTTTTCTCCAGTCACTGGTCTGTATTGTTTCTCCACCTTAACCAACGGCCACAGGTGAGGGTCATATCAACACACGGAGAACCATCGTCTAGCAGATAATAATTATTGTAGAAACAAGGTCAGTTTAAGAACTAGTCACCATCTTACTGCACTCAAGAAACACAGCTTTTGATTTTAAAAGGTCAAGGCAATAGTAAAGAAAAAAATGAGGACTATAAGTTGCAGGTCAGGCTGTGATGTTTTTGCAGTCTTGAATGAGCCCAGTTGGTTGTGCTGTTGTGTGTATCTCTGTATGCTTCCCGGTTGAAAGGTGACCCAGCTGGAGGATGGAGCAGGATATTCATGGAAACTGATGTGTCTGCCGCACAGAGGGAGGGTCTGGGTCTCCTGCCCTTGAAAATGACCTCTGGACTGGCTTCCACACAATCCCTTTTTCTTTTTAATAGAAATGACCCAGTAAAGTTGACATGAAATTGTTTTTCTTTTGAGCTGCTTTTGTAAGATCCTCTTTTTGAGTGTGTGTAGACATATTTATTTTTATTGTGGCAAAATATATATAACAGAAAGTTTACCATTTTACCAATTTTCAGTATACAGTTCAGCGACATTAATTACATTCTTACTGTGCAGCCACCATCCATCTCCAGAACTTTTTCATCTTCCCAAACTGAAACTGTCCCCATTAAACACTAACTCCTCATTTCCCTTCCCCAGCCCCTGGCACCCACCCTTCTCCTCTCTATTTCTATGAATTTGACCACTCTAGCAACCTCATATAAGTGGAATCATACAGTATTTATCCTATTGTGACTGGCTTATTTCAGTGAGCATGATGCCCTCAAGGTCCATCCATGTTGTAGCATGTGTCAGGCTTTCCTTCCTTTTTAAGGCTGAATTATTCCATTGTATGTATAGACCACATTTTGTTTATCTGTTCATTTGTTGATGGACACTTTTGGCTATTGTGAATAATGCTGCTGTGAACATGGGCAAACAAATATCTCTTCGTGTCCCAGCTGTGTAAGATCCATTTTAAGCTTTAATCAGGATTCTAGTCGTATTTTACGTATTATAGATGAGGAAGACACTTTTTTCCTCAATGTATTTTTGGTTCTAAGAGAAGCATTTATTTGCATATTTATTTTACCTTTTAAAGAGTTCTCACCATTTGGAGACCTGTTTTTTTTCTTTTTTTTTTAGCTGAGCCATCCTGCTACCTGTTGGCAGCTCAGCGGCTGCTCAGCTCGGGCTGGACTCGAACCGCTGTTGCTCAGAGCTCAAACTCTTGAGCAAGCTCTTAACCAACTGAGCCACTCGGCCGGCCCAAGAGTTCTCACCATTTGGGATGTGTATCTGTTAGCTAGCACACGGACAGTCGAGTTTGTGCATGACGGAGGGCGAAACTGTTCTTTAGCCTCTTATTTTGAAATAATCTCAGACTTATGAAAGCATTGCAGAAGTGATTGAAGCGTTCCTTTATACCTTCCTTCAAGCTTTCGAAAGCTGACATGGCTGGGACCAGGATGTGAGTGTCCATGAGGGTCACAGATGTGCCTTTTCTGGTCCAGGATCCAGTCCAGCCAACACGTCACATTTAGTTGTCCCGTTTCCTTGGTCTCTTCTGGCCTGGCACTGTATCTCCATCTTTGTCTTTGTGGTGACACTTTTACAGTCCGCTCCCATTAAAGAACATCCCTACTGTGATGCTGTGCTATGTCCTCAGAGTTAGCCCGCGTCGGGCATTTTTGGCAGGAGCAACACAGCAGTCTCAGTGCCCTTCACTGCACGTGGCATCAGCACGTCCCTGGTGCTGAGAGTTGTACTGAGATGGCTGCAGGCAGGTGTGGTGAGGCCTTTCCTCACACATTGTTGAGCAGGTCAGATAGACTGATACGTGTGGAAGCATTTTATAAGCCCTGATAACTCTAGGGATTTAAAATCAAAGTGTAATTTCTAACAAAGCTGAGGAAAGGGCTGCATCGTTTGCCATAAGAACAGTTCCTCCCCTGGAGCTGCCCTGCAGACCTACTGCATCCTGTCTCTGTCTTTCATCCAGTCATCCATCAACATTTGGTCAGGGACTGTTGGTGGCACAAACAATCAAGATCTGAAGAGCCACCTTCCCCATGAAGAGCAAGTTTTCCTGAAAAGGAGTTTTCCAAAGACCTCAGAGTCTTTAGAGATATGAGTAGAATGAGCTGTCGAGAGCCACACCCTCAGAGTTGGGGGCCCTCCAAGAGCACTTTCCAGACCAGGTTCTAGGGACACCCCCTCTTCAGTGTGTGACAGAGCATCATCATTCCTGGTGATTAGGAAGGACTCAGATGCAGAGCCTCCCTCTGGCTCTCACTGTGACTGAGCACTCAGGGCCACAGGAAGCACTGCGTGTCTCTTTTTGCTTATATTGCTTTTTGCACTGAAGACAGAGAGCACCTTTTTGGGCAGACTTAAGCCCACCAGGAAGCACTTACCAGATGGCATCTTCCTCTGAGCTAAGCCTCTCTGTGCTGCCATGAAAAGAGCTGCTTCCGCCCCACGATTTGCTCGTGCCCAGAATCCCCGACTGAAGGCCTCTTGTTGGGCTAAGCCAGCAGCAAACAAATCCCTTTGTGCAAAGACACAGCCAAGCATTCTCAGCTCTTCAGCTGTGTCTGAGGAATCTTTGTTGCTTCTTGGGGAAGAGCAGTTTCTATTCATTGACGTACAGAGCGCAGAGCAGATGCTGTGCTGGTCGTGGGAAAAGCTCTCTGAGGAAGCGAAAGCCCCACCTCATGGGTCAGGCAGAGTAGGTCCTGCAGGACTGCCAGGCCACATGGGAAGGGCCCCTACATCTGAGAGCACTGGGCCCAGCTGAGCAACCTGAAGGCAGTCACCTTTTTACAGTTTGATCGGCAGAAAGAGGGCTTTGCACTGAATTCCCCCTGCAGTGGATGTGTCCATCGGAGCCTGTGTGAGGAAGTGTGAGAGGACATAAACTCTGACTCTGCATGGAGTCATTAGAAAACCCCAGCTACCGTTCACACGGCCTTTTCCATTTTAGTCTAAGATCCATTTTACGTTACTACTTGTGTAAGGTGTGCGGTTTTGGTCACTGTTCATTTTTTCTGTCTGTGGGTGTCCTGTTAATCCAGCACTGTGCTTCCCGTTAAAGCTGAGTTGCTTTTGCACCTTCGTCAGAGCTTAGCTGGTGTATTTGGGAGTCTGTTTCTGGGCCGTCTGGTCTGCTTGTTGGTCTCCAAGTCTGTGCTGCACCACAGCACACAGCCATTCTTCACCCAGCTGCCCAACAAATCAGCTGCCCAACAAATCTCAGCAGAGGCTGAGTCCTCCCACTTTGCCCTTCTTTTTTTTTTTAAAGAAATTTTATTGGGGAACAGTGTGTTTTTCCAGGACCCATCAGCTCCAAGTCAAGTAGTTGTCTTCAAAGTGGTGGAGGGCGTAGCTCCTTGGCCCATGTGGGAATCGAACCAGCGACTTTGGGGTTACGAGCCTGCACCCTAACCACCTGAGCTAACCAGCCGCTCCCCACTTCACTCTAACCAACCCATTGTTGAAGCACTTTCCTTTGCCTTTTCATGTAATGTTTAGAATAAGTTTGTTCATATGTACCAAAAATAATCCTGCTGAGATTTTCATAGGGACACTCACCTAGTGGGATAGCTAGAGTAAAAAATCATGGCAACACCGGATGCCGGTGAGGATGTGAAGGGATTGGATCTCCTACTTTGCCAGTGGGAATGTGAAATGTGCAGCCTCTCGGGGAAACAGTCTGGCAGTTGCTGAAAAACTTAAACATACATTTACCATACGACACGCTCCTGGGTGCTCATCCTAGAGAAATGTTTACACAAAACACCTGTGCAGCAATGTTCATTTATTTATAATAGCTGAAAACTGGAAACCACCTAGCTGTCCTTCAGTGGGTATATAGTTAAACTCCGGTGTGTTCTTTTCACGATTTCCTTGCAGCAATAAAAAGAAACTAACAGTTCTCACACACGCAACTGCTTCAGTGGCTCTCAAGGGAATTATGCTGAGTGAAAAAAGCCAACCTCAAAAGGCTCCATATTGTATGATTCAATTTATATGAGACTATCAAAATGACAGAATTCTAGAGATGGAGAACAGATGAGTGGTTACCAGGGGCTAGCCAGGCGGGACGGGAGAAGGTGTGACTGTAAAGGGCGGTCTTCCTGGTGGTGGAATCTGTCTGGATCAAGGTGGAGGTTTCAGGAATCTTGCGTGACAGAATTGCAGAGAACGAGGCGCACACAGAGAAGCAAGTGCCCGTAAGACTGCTGACGTCTAATAAGGCCCGTGGACTGTGCAGTGTGCGCTTCCTGGTTTTGACATTGCCCTGTAGTTACTTAACATGCCACCCGGGAAACTGGGGCGAAGGACTTCTCTGCATCATTTTTGCAACTTGACGTGTATCTATAACAATGTCAAAATACGAAGTTTCCAAAACAAAACCCCAGGCGGTCTACACCCTGTGGTCCATATGACCAGGCCTGGGAGGAAGGGGACAGTTCTGCAGGGAGGTCAAGGTGACTTGTGATGGCAGAGCTTTGAGTGTTGCTGCTCCAAGTGTTGCTGCTTGGAGCTCACTGACATGGCATCTACTCTTCTTGCCTTGCTGTTGTTTCTCTTCTGCACCCACTGTTCCTACTGTTTTTCAACATTTTTTCTCTGTGTGTGTAACTTCAGATTTCTGTGTGCACAACCTTGACCTGCGGAAGAAAGGCATTTCAGAAATGTGAGCGATGAGCCCTGGCAGGTCTCCCCGACCAGCACTCTGGGATGAGTGGTGTAGGGTCTCCCACAGACTCCAACCCCCCCCCACCCCTCCC